TCTCATTAAGTAGTTCCCCGTTGATTTTTATTCCATATGATTGTCTCTCAAGTGTCTTTTTAAATAGCTGGTCCGAGTAAACATTGAACAATATTGGCGACAAAATGCAACCTTGTGTGCCTCCTCGTTGTATGGGGATTTCATCGGTGTAGTTATATCCAATTTTTACGATAGCAGTTTGATTTCAGTACAAATTTTTAATGACACGAATATCCTTGTCATCTATTCCGATATTTTTCAGTATCTGCATTAATTTTACATGCTGTACTTTCTCGAATGCCTTTTTGAAGTCCACGAAACATGCAAATACATGTTTTCTTTGGTCACGGTATTTTTGTAATAGGATGTTGGTATTGGATGATACCCAAATTGGGTATCTTCAAGATCTTCTTCGCTTTTGCGTCTAATTCTGTTGTGAAGTATTCTGAGGAAAATTTTAAGGGTGTGGCTCATTAGGCTAATTAATCGATATTCTGGGCATTTTCTCGCATTGTGTTTTTAAGTATTGCGATAAAGATGGATTTGAGCCAATCTGTGGGAATCACTCCGGTCTTATATATTGAATTAAAAAGTCTTACTACTACTTTTATGTTATCATTCTCTATTAGTTTCAGCAACTCAGTTGGTGTATCATCTGGACCATAAGCTTTTCTAATTTTAGCATTATTTATAGCATGTTCTACTTCGAATTTCATAATTTCTGGGCCGCCAGTACAGTTTTGGTAGAATTCGACAATATTATTCCTTTCATCTTCAAACAACTCTGACATTCTTTTCTTATTTCTTGCCCATTTTATAGCAAGTTATCAATAACAGCGTTATATGATTTTTTATTTGAGGACTTTTCCATCGACGTACGAAATTTCAAGTGAATCAGTTCAGAACGACAAAATTAGGAGGTAATTAGCCCGAATTACTGGAGTAAACAAAATATTGGCAAATGTCTATGTTTAAAATGGTTGTAAAGTTTTCATCATTAAGCTATCTAACTTGTGTGTCTCTTCTCTCCGATTGTTTCAACATTTTCTAACATTGTCATTTGATCATCTTCTCCTTATTTTCAGTTTAAATAACAGCAGATCAAATAAAAATGATTTCAAGTTTTAGATTAATAAAATTATATAAATAAGTTTAAATATAATTAAAATCATTTTAAGTTGTTTTTCACCGTCTTTTTTGTTTTTATTATTTTGCCATGACTTACTAATATATATACAAGACGAAAAGTTCGGGTTCGTTGGAAAAAATATTTTCACGACATTTTTTTATGATCAGTTTCATGATACCCCAAAAAAGTTCAAGAGGTCGCTTAGGCAAAAAGTTGTTCAAATTTGTTTAAACAATTTTTTTAAACAAATTTTATTAATAAATTTTTTGGAATTTTCACTTCACGGAAATCGTTCTCAAAATACAAACATTAGTATTATACTCCGGTCAAAATAGACATTAAAGGTTACATTAATTCGCACCTTCCTAAAAATTGGCATGATTGTTGGGAACCCTATTATACACAATTTGTCAATTATCCACATCAATCCGGAGTGTGGAAAAAAATTTATTCAAGGTCAAATGTTGCAAAAATCGGTTTTTTGAGTTTTTCAGCTAAACGGTAAGTTTTATAATAAAAATAGGTGAGACAAAAATGATTCATCATGCAATTGTCTATAAAAATTGTTCCTACACATTTTTTCCTAAGAATCACCATTTCGAAGATACAGCGATGCAAAATGTTGAAAAAGTTGTATTCTTCATAATATGCACACGTTTCCGCGCCACCCGTGAGGTAGTGTACATGGCGCGTTTTTTTTACGTGGTTTCCCCGGTAGCCCTATTCCACGATCTATTGTGCTTCTGTTAAGTTAAAAAGCTATTATATTAAATTGAAAATGGTACTATTGTAAATAACAAGAGCGGTGTAAGTAATGTGTAAATTAAGATAGATACTCTTCTAATGGAACATAATCCAGACTGTCTTGCTCTTCTTCTTTATATATTCTTATATTCGTTACTGTTACTATTGAGTATGCTACGGCGGCGTCCATGCTGCTGTTTTCAGCAGTATGGACGCCGCCGTATCAATTGCTGTTTTCATTGTATATTCTTTTTTTTGTTTTTCCATCACAAGTAACTTTCGTTACTTTGTTTTTTGAGTGCGCTGTCTTCATTATTTTCGTTGTTCTTTCTGTAGGAGTGTCCATTGATAACTCTCTATTACCGTATTTTCTAACTTTATTCTTTTTAAATATTTTGTTACTATATCTATCTTTTGTTGTAATAAAGTTTGCAGTTGACTTAACGTAAATTAATCGCTATTTAGAAGCAATTTGTTGCTACGATTTGATGCAAACGAATACCTGCATTTTATCCTTTCTCTCCTGCTTCGTTTTAATATTTGCGATTTTAATATTCTTCTCTTTGATTTTGCATCTATTTTGGATAGTCTTCGTTTATAAGTATGTACGTACCTTTTAATTTCTTTGTTTCATTGAGGACCTCGTTCTTTTTACTAAAATTTTTAAATTAGATAAGTATCGGTCTTTTCTTATTAATATTTTTAATAAAAAGTCTTCGTATTTCTATAATATCTTAATCTTTATTTGGTTGTGCTTGCAATTTTCTAGAAATGTCTGTTATCTTAGGTTTGATTTGATTTTCGTTTTCATTTTCTATTCCTTGGATGATCAGATTCTTTTTTATACTTTACTTTCTAATTCCTTTACCTTTATCTCTTGAATTTGCAGAATTGTTTGACGTTCTTGATTATTTTCTTTTAAATCCCTGTTTTCTTCTGTTACTTTTGGCATCTTTTTTGTAATTGTGTCGATTCTGTCTTCCATTCTCATAATTTTTTTACAGCAGATCTAACTTTTATCGCATTAATTTTCTGTTCAATTTCTTTACAACTGAGAATTTTAAAGTCCGGTCACATTTATTGTAGCGAACTGTAATTACTGTTTTGAACAAAAACGTTACTTACAATATACAAAGTTATTGTATTAAAATAGATTATACATACTAAAAATTTTACTTTAATTTTAAATAATAATTTAATCATTTTAAGCTTGTCCCTTTATTATATAAATGGTATTATATTTCAAAGCTTCCTTCTTCTCAAACTCTTCTTTGAAACCTATCGGTATAGCGTCTGATCAATCTTCAATTGAAATATTAAGTATACATACCCAAATTCACAATTTTTCAGAGAGAGCACTTTTAAACCTTCTTGCTTGTATCAGTTTAATCACAGACCTCCATCAAATGATTAACAGAAAAGAAAACAATTAGTTAAAAATTAATTTATATCACTGTAGCACTGACCATCATCAGTGCTATCTGGGTGTACATGTCTTGCTCTTCTTCTTTATATATTCTTATATTCGTTACTGTTACTATTGAGTATGCTACGGCGGCGTCCATGCTGCTGTTTTCAGCAGTATGGACGCCGCCGTATCAATTGCTGTTTTCATTGTATATTCTTTTTTTTGTTTTTCCATCACAAGTAACTTTCGTTACTTTGTTTTTTGAGTGCGCTGTCTTCATTATTTTCGTTGTTCTTTCTGTAGGAGTGTCCATTGATAACTCTCTATTACCGTATTTTCTAACTTTATTCTTTTTAAATATTTTGTTACTATATCTATCTTTTGTTGTAATAAAGTTTGCAGTTGACTTAACGTAAATTAATCGCTATTTAGAAGCAATTTGTTGCTACGATTTGATGCAAACGAATACCTGCATTTTATCCTTTCTCTCCTGCTTCGTTTTAATATTTGCGATTTTAATATTCTTCTCTTTGATTTTGCATCTATTTTGGATAGTCTTCGTTTATAAGTATGTACGTACCTTTTAATTTCTTTGTTTCATTGAGGACCTCGTTCTTTTTACTAAAATTTTTAAATTAGATAAGTATCGGTCTTTTCTTATTAATATTTTTAATAAAAAGTCTTCGTATTTCTATAATATCTTAATCTTTATTTGGTTGTGCTTGCAATTTTCTAGAAATGTCTGTTATCTTAGGTTTGATTTGATTTTCGTTTTCATTTTCTATTCCTTGGATGATCAGATTCTTTTTTATACTTTACTTTCTAATTCCTTTACCTTTATCTCTTGAATTTGCAGAATTGTTTGACGTTCTTGATTATTTTCTTTTAAATCCCTGTTTTCTTCTGTTACTTTTGGCATCTTTTTTGTAATTGTGTCGATTCTGTCTTCCATTCTCATAATTTTTTTACAGCAGATCTAACTTTTATCGCATTAATTTTCTGTTCAATTTCTTTACAACTGAGAATTTTAAAGTCCGGTCACATTTATTGTAGCGAACTGTAATTACTGTTTTGAACAAAAACGTTACTTACAATATACAAAGTTATTGTATTAAAATAGATTATACATACTAAAAATTTTACTTTAATTTTAAATAATAATTTAATCATTTTAAGCTTGTCCCTTTATTATATAAATGGTATTATATTTCAAAGCTTCCTTCTTCTCAAACTCTTCTTTGAAACCTATCGGTATAGCGTCTGATCAATCTTCAATTGAAATATTAAGTATACATACCCAAATTCACAATTTTTCAGAGAGAGCACTTTTAAACCTTCTTGCTTGTATCAGTTTAATCACAGACCTCCATCAAATGATTAACAGAAAAGAAAACAATTAGTTAAAAATTAATTTATATCACTGTAGCACTGACCATCATCAGTGCTATCTGGGTGTACATGTTTTGAACCACTAAATACAAGGGTAACTTAAACTTTCTAGTATATAAAGTCAAATAGTGTAACTAAAATTTAATTTAACAATATTTAAAAGATTTTTACCCATATATTTAGTGGCTCAGAACGTCAACATATGTGCATCCAGATTGCATTTTTTAAGTACTCGTATAATAAAATACAAATAAAAATTAAAAAAGTAATTTATTTTTCACGTTTAATAACATATGTAAATGAACACATAAATAAATTGTATACAGCTATTTTATTATAAAGTTAAATTAACTACCAACCATGACCTTCTCCTCCTAAAGAATATCCATTGTCGTATCCTCCATAACTATGCCCCAGACCATAACCATGACCTAAGCCATTACCGTAACCTAAGCCCTCATCATATCCATGACCAGCTCCATGTGAAGATACAAGGGGAGCACTGTGATAGCTCACTGCAGGTGCCACATAGGTTTTAATGGCCGGTGAAGGATAGTCAACACGGGAGCTATCAAAATTAACAGAATTTATAGAATACTAAACTATTTGCTAATTAATTACTATTAATTATTTATATTTAATATTGCTATATGCTAGATAGAGAAGTTGAGTAAAAAAATTATACTTAACTAAATAATAGTATAACTAAATATAGATTATGAACTGTCATCATCTTAAAGCATGAATAACAGAACATGGTAAAGAATGGAAAACATTATACAAGAATTGACAAAATAAATTGCAAAAGAGACAATTGGTATTGAAAAAAGATAAAGAACAATAGCAGAATGGTATGGTGAAACTTTTTGCAACATGATAAAAAATACTAAAGCGATTAATAGTGATAAATACGATGACAAATTAAACTGGATCATCGAAATAGAAGAAAAACAAACCAACCCAAAGAAGCTGAAGTTAAAGCTGCTGCCAAAAAACAATAAGTCGCCTGGATTAGAAAATATTAGTGCAAAACTGATAAATGGCGGAAACTTACTATTGGGTACAATGCAAGAACTTATACTGAGTATATGTAAATACACTCTCCTTGAATGAAACATTGGAATAATCGTGCCGTTACACAAAAAAGGAGAACAACTTTCACGTGGAAGTTATCGAGAAATTACTTTGCTAAATACGGCATATACAATACTGTCCAATATAGTATATGAGCGACTAAGAACGTATGTGAACAAGTTGGGGTATACCAATAAGGTTTTTGCAGGCAGGAATCGACAATAGATCAAATTTTTTACATTGAGAGAAATTTGGGATAAAACTAATACTGAATTTGATATTGACACGCAAAAATCAGAATCCAAAATGAATTAACAGGTAAAAACTCTACTAATAGAGTGCTACGCCAAGGAAACGCCTCATCCTGTTACTTATTGAACATCACCCTAGAAAAAAACCATATGAGAATCAATAGTTAACCCCAGGGGAACGACAATGACAGAAAGTGTACAAATACTAGCATTGCAAACGACGTTGATATGATACATATAAGCAGAAGGGATGTGACAGAATCATTCAATCTAATAGAAAAAGCGGCATAAAATAACGGCCTAAAATCAATGAAGCCAAAACAAAATATGTGAATGTTAGTAGGTTAAAAGGGCTGTGGTATCTTCAGAGTATAAATGTAGGCAACTATTACTTCGAGAACCTAAAAAAATTTACATATCTAGCTTAGTTTCAAAGAATAATATTAATAAACAGATCAAAAGAACCGTTCGCAAATAAAATATTTAACGGACTTGTTTAACTCTTAAGATCTAATAATATAACAGGAGAAACAAAATGTAAAATTTAGACACTGATCAGACCAGTCCTCAAATATAAATCAAAAACGTACAATGCAACGACAAAGAGGCAGATATCAGCACGTTTATCAAAGTTGAAAGATTTGGATGGATCACATACAACGAATGTAGGAAGATTATGCAGGCACCAATATAAAGAAGATCTAAAAGAAGATCCGGGTTTAGATATTTGGAACAGATAGAACAAGACATGAACATATAGAATGGGGGAACTTCTTAGAACAGGCCAAGACCCACAAAGAGTTGTGTTACTGATGATAAATAGATCAGTAATAAAAAAGGAACATCTTAAAACTTTAACGAGTTTATGGAGTTGCTAAAGAAAAGGAAACAGAAAAAAGTATATGGAGTTTTATCCTAAAGTATGAGAAATATCGCTGCTAGAAATATAGCTTCCTACCTTAGAAGTCATGTTTGACATAACCGAAAAAAGTTGCAATTAAAAAGCAAATATACACATATAACATAAGAAGAAAGGAACAAACTATAACTAAATAGTTCATACAATGTAAGAAATGTTGCATAGAGACATCATAGAAGTATCCAACAACTTATTATGTAATAAATAATCAGAGATAACCCTTGGGAAACATGTATGTGCAAGGAAAATCTAATACTCTAGGAGGCAGAGTATGCACTTTTATGTCTCCTCGGTACCTTAACATTTTTTATGTTTTTTGTTGCAAAGATTCGATTTTTCCAGAGTACCAGGTCGAGGACCTGTCAGATAATTTGTGATTTATTATAATTTAGTTGTTTAAATGATTGTATCTCCTAAACTATTACACACATCTGATTTTTCCAAAATAAAATTGTACTTTTGAAAAAAAAAATTAACAAAATGGCGTTTAGTTAACTTTGATCAGATTGTTAGAACCGGAGTTATAACAAATAAGTGCATACCTAACTCCCCTGGGCTCTTAGATTATACAGTTTTAGGCAACTTTAATTGTGAAACAGTGAGATCATCAATTAAATATTTTTGAGACATGGATGTTTTAACATTTAATGAAATTAAAGTAAATTGCAATCTGTTAAAATAACCATGAATAGTTGATAGCCCTTAAATTATAGAACAACATGTTTAAAGTAAATATCATAATTAATATTTTAAAATTTACCTGTAACTAGTAGCTGGAGCTAATCCATATCCGTATCCTCCATATCCTCCGTGTCCACCATATCCTCCGTGTCCACCATATCCTCCGTGTCCACTATATCCTCCGTCCAGCAAACCGCCTGGTTTACCGTAAGACATTGACATTACAGTACAAAGTACCAACAATTTAAACATTTTGTATAAATAATTAAAATATTTTATAAAATATTCACAAATGTATTGTTAAAACGACTGGTTGAATAATATATGTGAATCTGAAGTAAACCGTGTTTAACTTTTATACTAATTCCTAAGCACCTTGTTTCTCTATATTGCATAAGAAATCGTTCTTGTATCACACAATATTGCAATAATATAAGACCTTTGTTGTACGAGATATGTTTTTTTTTCTTTAAATGCAATAGATTTTTTAAATTAATATAATAATCAAAGATTTTGATTAGTTTTATGCCTAGTTTTACAAAAAACTAATAGTGTAATATTATTCTTTTAGGTTCAAATTAATAATAAAAATATTAACAATTTTTTGTCAAATTCAATTAAATTTGGTTTAAAAAGTTATTTTAAATTTCTTTTTAACTGAAATTCTATTTTATTCTAAATTCTGTCATTTTATTAGCTATGTTTGTTTTTTTTCTGTCTCCAAAGGATTTAATATCTAGATGATTAGGTTTTTAATCGATTTCTTCTCATTTCTAGTTTACATTACAGCAGATATAAACAGAAATATAATTCCCATTAATCATCAAAATAGTTTTATACGTTGTTGGTAAAGTCAATATTACTGGATCAAATTGCATACACCAGGAGTTTACTTAAAAAGAAAATTGTATTGTCATCTCAATTCGCCTTTTGTTATAGTTCAAGATAGCAAATAAACCGATAGAAACAATTTTGTTTATAAAAAAATGTAAATTTTATACGTTATATCTTTTATTTCATCCTGTACATCAGTGGCGGCTCGTGACATCTGCTATAGGGTGTGCTGCATGAACCACGGTCAATATAAAATAATAGAAATAGAATAACATACGAAAACAAAAACAATAAAATTAGCTTTAATACTAATTAATAGTAACTAATAACGACATGCTATAAAAATCTGATTAACTTACATTTATTGCATTTTTCTAAATTGGAAATTAATACGCCTGTCCTTTTTTGTCGCAAACTTTTCGATTACTTTATCGTTAAAGTTCGGTATTGAAGCGATGAACTTTTTTTCTATCGAGAGTGTGGAAAGGGCTGTTAATCTGTCTTCGCACATTGAATTTCTTAAAAATGTTTTGATCCGTTTTAAAGTTGAAAAACTACGTTCAGCTTCTGCTGTGGTCATTGGCGTAGTCACCAGAATTTGTATCAACTTTTTGGTTTCTGTTAATGTGTCCTCTAAATTATTAGAAATTATAAATTTTAGTAAAGGCACTGCACCTTTTAATGTTCTACACTCGATATTGGAATACAAAACTGACAGTTCTGTTCGCAAACGGTTTTTATCAAAGAAGTTATAAGCTGTACAAGTTAAATCCAATTCATTTTCAGGAAACTTATTATTATATTTTTCGAAATGTTCTGAAGATAAAAGTGTTGCGGCAACTAGATGATTTGTATATGCAAACCGTTCTTTTGCATTGTTTATAATAACATCACAAACTTCTAGACAGGCAATACGGTGATCCTGTTGGCTGTTATTTGGGCGTTTCCTTTTTTGGACACTAGGCGCCGCATTTAAATTTGAAGCTTGATGTATGATAGGGTCTATTTTATTTCGGACATTGTTAATACTTTGCTCAAAAACATGTATAGCTTTCTGTGCTTCGGTTGGGTCCATGTTCTTTTTTTGAAGATTATTGTACAAAACGTCAACATGTGGCATAATATAATGAAAAACAGTCAGCCAGAAAGTAAAATTTTGATCTTCCAGAATACGTCTAAGTCCTCTTGCTTCCTTGGAAGTAATAGCATTTGACTCTTCTTCTAGTTGCTCCATACACTCAATAATAAAGTCTCTATATTCGTAAACGACATTTACTGTACGAATATTGAAATTCCAGCGTGTAGGGATTGAACGAGGAATATTTTTTCCAACTATTTGATTTAAGACAGCTATTCTTTGAGGTGAATGACTAAAAAATCCAGGTATATCATGTAAATCTCCAAAAAATACGCGTACTTGGGAATTAATAGAACATGCTCTTGACATTATTAGATTCAATTGATGGGCGTAACAGTGCACAAAATGAGCAGTTTCATATTTTCTCTTAATTATTGTTTGCACTCCGCCATGTATCCCACTCATAACAGCTGCTCCGTCATAACTTTGTGCAATGAGCTTATTTTTGTTATTCTTTAATATTGGGTCTAAAACATTCAAAATTGTGTTAGCTAAGGTTTCAGCATCATGTTTTTCTGGAAGCAAAAAAGTCCAAAACCTTTCAACTGGAGCACCGTTTTTTACATAACGAAAAACAATGACCATTTGAAATTTCATAGAAACATCCGTTGTCTCATCAGCTATCACTGCTAAAAATGGGGCTTCATTGATTTCGTTTAAAATCTCCTCAGCGTATACTTCTAGCATGCAATCCAAAATATCATTTTGTATTGTTTTTGAGGTACCTTTGAAAATTGTCGCATTTGTAAGGTGTTCACTAAGTGTTTTATCAAGTTCAGCAGAAAAATTCACTAAACCACGAAAAATTCCAGGGTTATCTGATGTTTCAGATTCATCGTGTCCTCGTAAGGCGAGCTCAAAAGCCCCACAGAATTTTATACAGTCAATTATTTTTGACAAAACATACCTGTTTTTCGTCACCTCTTCATTGTGTTTTTGTATATTTATCCAATAAGTCAAGTTGGGCCTGTATATTAAGTTTCCCAAATAATGCAAATCGCATTTCATTGTTCATATGAGTTTGCGTGTTTTCATGCTTCTTTATTTTTTCACTTAAATGCACTAGATCCCGCACTCCTGTCTCGCGCCACAATTTTTCCTCTTTATCTGCGCCGAATAATGCACACGGAAAACAGAAAAAAGCATTTTTTTCGGAACATCCACAAATCCACTGATTTCGTAGATACATGTCTTTATTAAATTTACGCGTATATGTTTTTCCACGGCTTTTACCGGACACTTCAATATTAAGATCAGGCATAGGACGGCCACGTTCTTTTATAATCAACTGTTGTTGATAGTGAAGTTTTTGAAATTTATTTACACCTAATTTAAATTGAAACTCCATTGTTTTAAACACGCTCGAACAAAACAAATTAAACAAAATTGTAACCTAAGAATTTCTAAACACGGCACAGATGCAACGGTCACGAATAACTGTCGTGAATTGCAGCTCGCAAACACATTTCCGAGGCCGTTAATCAGCCGATTGCCGAAGCACATCGGCTAAGATCGCCGTTTGCCTAATAAATGCATTTTACCGCTGCCAGTGTTTCGGTTGTTATCGACGCGGCTTCACTGGAGCAGCAAATACGTAAAAAGATTGCTTCACTGGAGCACCAAATACGTAAAAAAATTATACGGTTTCACTAGAGGAGTAAATACGTAAAAAAAATAATATTAATCATCGTTGTTGGTGAATTATTATTAACAGTTTATGTTTAATATGATAATATGGCAGATTTGAAATAAAACTATATTAATTATTCTTTAATAATTAAGATTTGCTATGGTTGTTTGGTAGTTCTGCAGCTCAGCAGCACATAAAGAAAAGCCGCCACTGCTGTACATACATTTTAATTCCTATAAATATTTTTCCACGAAATTATTTTGTTAAGACTCATCTACTTTTCCTAACCGTTAGGTACATCAGTACCCACTGTAATACCCATAAAAAAACAACCTGTAGATATAGACCTAATCTAACCTAACCTGTAGATATGATAAAAATATTAATAAACCCCCAAAAATTTATCGCATTAATATTTCATGTATTATCCCGTTCTAGATTACCCTAACAGTTACCTCTAATTTTGACCATACATTAAGTTAACGGTACCTTTATATTTGAAATATTTTCCTATAAAAAGACCTCCCCTAGCTATTTTATTTATTTTTGCTGAGCAGTATGTAGTGCAGTTCGATTTTGTGTATTTTGGAGACCCCTATAAGGGGTAAGATATTTCATATATTACGTTCCAATGTTGGTCCAAGTATAATAGTTCAAGTATAGTCCAAGCAAAATCTAGTTAGTTTAAAGATTGTCTAATGTAAATCCAAGTATATTCTACTCAATTCAATGTTGGTCCGAGCATAATCCACAGTCAGTTCGAAGATTGCACAAGTTAGCTCTAAAAGTAGTGCCAGTTTGAACCAGTCTTAACGTTTTACTCTGATTGTCAATCGAGTTTTCCTTCAGCTATTATGGTGCCTTTCGTGTATTCCAGAGTTGTCTGCACAGAAGTTACCGTTAATTCTATAGCTCAAAGTTATTGTGTGTGAGTACCCTTTATTATCTCTGTATCGTCAGCCGATTTAAGTAAAGTCATTTCAAGTTAAGAAAGTCAAATAATTATACGAGAGATTGTTACACGCTGTTATACGCCTGTCATATATTAGATACAATATTATATAATATATATATATATATATATATATATATATATATATATATATATATATATATATATATATATATTAGATATAATATAAAAGATCCATCTTTTAATAGTCTAATACTTCCTGAACTAATGGACAGACCTGAAGCAAGTATGACTACCAAACTAACTCCTTTTGAAATCGTAACCCCTTCTTATACTTAAAACATTAACAAAAAAATTTTGCAAATTAAAAGAGTTTTTAACAAAAAAGATGAAAAACACACCGAATACCAAAAATTCAACACAAGAAACTGACTTTGCTTAATTAACGACTCACGCAAAAGAACTGTTTAACAAATGAACACAAATTCTTACACATGATCAGCTAGTGGTTCTCTATGCAAATGCAACAGAATTCAAATATCCATTAAGTACACCAAAAAAGTACACCTAATATTCTCATTAACTGTTGAAACTATTATCTTATGTTCATCTATATTCAAAATAAAAAAAAATAAAATTTGAGTGGAGGATTTAGAAAAAAAATTATAAACCAATATTACTCTTAGGTAAAATATCAATTTACAAAAAAATATCAATCCGTGGCCGGTCTCAGCTTT